ATCCTGCCTTCAGGCGCCTTGGAAAATAGCTTGACTCCCTCTTCTTTGTGGCAGCCCCTGAGATATTGGAACACTGCTATGAATATGCACATGTGTGCGTGTGTGTACACATGTGTTCACATACATACATACATACATACATACATACATACATACATACATACATACATACATACTAAAAGAAACTTTTGTTTTGAATCCAAGTCAAGCAGTTGTGTTCTGGAGGTTTCTCAAAACTGTCAGCCATTGTTTTGCAGAACTGGAAATTATAGATAGTCCTCAATTTACTACTGTTTGCTTAACAATTGTTCAATCTTAGGATGCCTTGTAATTTTCATTCACACAGTCGTGTGTCTCATACACACACTGTCGTATGATTGCAGTCTGGGTACTTGGCAACCCATTTGCACTTATGACTAATTGCCAAGTGCCCCATAATCTTGAGATCGTCATTTGCAATCTTCCCTGTTGGCTTTCCTGTAAAGACAATGCTTTCTGCTTGGGCCACTACTGTCTATTCTATTTAGGACCAATGGGAATTTGCTGAAATAAGTTTGCAAAGGAGCCTCTTCTTGCACATTCTCAAACTCTCTCTTTTACACACACACAAATACTCTTCTTCCCATTCCTGTGCAGATTCCTTGAGAGGAATCAGATCCATCAATCAGATTCCTAGAGAGGAAGCACATCGTCCCCTTTAGGAATATGCTTGATGGTTTCAACTTTCAGGAAGCCAAGCCAAAGCCAATCTGCTTGATCACAAGAAGAGCAGAAAAAAGTGGGGTAGGAGGAATGGTAGATAGAAAGGAGGGAGACCATCAGGAGGGCAAAGAGAAAAAACGAGAGGAAAAGGAAGGAGGAGGGAGTGTAATTTGTTGTTCTGTTCCTCTTTGGCTCCCTCTTACTCTGATGTACTTTTCCTGCCAAAGACACACATGCTGTTCCTGTTGGGGAGAAAAGTTGGCATCATGCAATAGCAGTGGATGAACTTTTGGAAAGAGCAACCCCCCATCCTCCCACCCTGGGAGACTAGTCTCCTTTGCAAAGTTATTTCAGCAAATTCCTGTCACTCCTAAGTAATTATATACTTGGAGGCAGTGATAAGGTACGCTGCCTGCTGCAGGCAAGTGGGAGAGGCCTGACATAGGCTGCTTCTGACTGTCTCTCTGCTCTGGCATTTAAAACCCTGCTTGCAGGGAGCATTGTCGATGCCATAGCAGAACCTCCTGTGGTCTCCCCCACTTCCCCCACTCCTGAGGCACCTCACATTGTTTACTAGGAACTCTGTCCACTTAACAATCCGTGAGATTGCTTAACCACAACTTCGCTCATTGATCCAGATTCCAGTCCCAATTGTAATTGTAAGTTGAAGATTTCCTGTATAATGGTTTGTTTTCTTCTGGACTGAAGAAAACAAAATATTGTTAGGTGAATAGACACCCCTCTCTACTGTCTACGTTCCCCCTCTCTAGTCTGTTCAGCTTCCAGTATGTCATATCCCACTGGCCTGTCCACTTCTAATAGTTGAAGCTCCTTCCCCACCCTCTGCCCCTTTTCCTCATTTGCTGTTGTCCTTGACTGTTCTCCTGTTTCCCTTAACCATTTCTGTATAAACAAGGGAGTCCCCAATCTTTGTAATTCTTTCTCTCCTTTGCTTCAGACACTAATGTTTTTAGTTCCGCCCCCCCCCTTGCTCCCACATTTTCCCTAACTGCCCAGAATAAAACATCCCCTGGTCTTCCTAGTATCTCAGTCTGTCTGTATTCTAGCATGTTATATCCGACAACGTGTCTCTGCTCTCAGTGTTCCAAGCCCCCCCTCCCCTTTTCTCCATGTCCTGCCTTCTCTCAGCTGCTTATAGTCTTGGCATTTTCTCTTCTTCTTCTCATCAACCATTTCTGCCCGAAGCAAAACAGCCACATCTTGTTCCGTGCTTGGCACCCAAGCCCCTGAAATAGGCACAGTTTAGTTAGGTCTTAGATCATCTGAAACCAGTTTTGCTTTGTAAAAGATAGTTCATGCACTGAATATTTTGTACATCTTACAAAAAAGTTAGGGCATATGTATGTTAAAGGGGAGTTAAAGCGCATTATGGACTTGGTTATTTATATAGTTGGTTAATGTTAGTTAGATTATGATTATTATATTTGTAACCCTGTATTCAGCTCTGGGAAGTGGGGGAGGGAGAGGGGGGGTTAGGGTGGGTTGGTTTTGGGGTTTATATTGTAACTTTTATAAAACTTTTCAATAAAAAAAAAAGTTAGGGCATATTGCCTTAACTTCACATTTATATTTCCCAAAATACATTATTTGCTTTATCTTGTTGTAGTAGCTTTACACCTTTTTGTAGACTTTGGGGGAATATTGTAGGCAGAACGTGAAATTTGCATTCATAAATGATAAATTCTATGCTTCGCCAGGATTTGTGTGGATTTGCAAATATGTAATTAGTCTGTTTATTCAGGCACATAGAAATAGTGAATTGTACTTTCACTTACTTTGAAGTAGCCCTGTAAAATCTACCTGGTTACTTGGCAGCCATCTTCATTTCCATATCTCTTTACATTTCCATATCTCTTAGAACTGTTCTATATTTAGCAGAGCAGACATAAATGGAATGAAGATAACTAGGGATTAGTTAATTATACAGTTATACCCCAATCGATATACACCTACAAAAGTAGATTTATTGATTGCATTACTATATAACTGTAGTAACTGCAGAATGTTGTATAATATTTCTTTTCTCTCTTGTATTGTAGTCTCAAAAGCAGAATCTTGACATTAGTAGAGAAGCAAAATTTGCTGCAACACCTTCATTTGCATTATTTGTAAATCTGAAAAATGTTGTTTGCAAAATTGGAGAAGATGCTGAAGTCCTTATGTCTTTGTATGATCCTTTGGAATCCAAGTTTATAAGGTCAGTGATTTAATATCAAAGCCATAAAATAGATTTTATGTAATATATATATTAACATGGAAAAGACAAAGAGGCTATCTGGGAACCTCTGCTGTTAGTCATTAGCCACAAATTGTCTGTGGAAATTTCCTAAATCATCCTGTCTCCATGAAAGGTTATAGTGTTAATTACCATTTATATAGTTTGTGGCATTATTGGGACATTCTGGTCCTGGTGCTATTTTACAACAACAAGAAGAAAAAGACAAATAACTTTTCTTGTGGAGTTCCCAGTTTGTTTAATATGAGACATAAAAAATGCAATGTTAAAAGGTTTAAAACTTTTATAATGGATATTCAGTATCCTTTGCTTTTGCATTTCCATATAGTAGCTTCACACAAAAGAATAAAATCCATCAAACAAAATCTTCTAGGGATTTTTTTTCTGAAAGAGATGGATGTTTTCTCATCCTAGAACAGAATGGGAATGATAATAGTCAACATCACAGATCTGCTTTGAGATCAGACAGGATGAAAGCTACGAAACAAATGATACATTACAAATATAAATGATTATTAAAATAGGCATAATGCTTTTTGTTTACAATCTGTATTTTAAAAAATTCACATAGTAAGCTGACACATCACTAGAAAATGAATTTGAGAAGGTTGTTTTGAATTTATTTTGTTTTAGACATAGCATGTTGCTAATCTCTTTTTGCTGGTGCATTATGGTGAAAAAAATGAGGCTCTTTGCACTCTGAGAGCATTTTTATTCAGTAACAATTAGAAGAAAAAAACTTACTTTGTCTTTATTTCCATTTTTTATTTAGATCTGAGATATTTGTGTTTTTGCATGTGTCTGTCTATCTATCTATCATCTATATCATCTATCTGTGTCTGTCTGTCTGTCAGTCTGTCTGTCTATCTATCTATCTATCTATCTATCTATCTATCTATCTATCTATCTATCGTTACAACTTAAAGAATTTTTTTATACATTTTTACTTTATTAATTGTAAACTACCAAGAGTTTTTGGGCAACCTATAAATTATGCAAATAAATAAATCTGGTTTGCATCAAACTCTGAATGTGTTTGTTTAAATATAATGTTAACATATTTTAATGTAAAACTGCTTTTGCTTTCATAATGATTTTATTTTTATTTACATAGTGAGAATTATCTGGTGAGATGGTCAAGTTCTGGTCTACCTAAAGACATAGATAAATTACATAATCTTCGAGCGGTCTTTACGGTAAATATTCTTTTTATATTTGTGATACTTACATTATCCGCTTGCTTCAGTATTTTCCATGTTATACAAGAATATGTATTTTGCTTACAAAGAGCCTTAGGTTAATTTTTTGGGTAGCTCTAGAAAGGGAAAGAGTCCTTTAAATATTATGGAGCTGGGCTTCCATTCTGGCACTATAGCATAATAATAATAATGATGATGATAAAGTTGGAAGGGACCTCGGAGGTAATCTAGTCCAACCTCCTGCTCAGGCAGGAAACCCTATACCATTTCGGACAAATGTCTGTCCAGTTTCTTCTTAAAAACTTCCAGTGTTGGCGCATTCACCGCTTCTGGAGGCAGGTTGTTCCACTGGTTAATTGTTCTAACTGTCAGGAAGTTTCTCCTTAGTTCTAGGTTGCTTCTCTCTTTGGTTAGTTTCCACCCGTTGCTTCTTGTCCTGCCTTCAGGCACTTTGGATAATAGCTTGACTCCCTCTTCTTTGTGGCAGCCCCTAAGATATTGGAACACTGCTATCATGTTCCCCCTCATCCTTCTCTTCGTTAAACTAGACATACCCAATTCCAGCAACCGTTCCTTATATGTTTTAGCCTCCAGTCCCCTAATCATCTTTGTTGCTCTTCTCTGTACTCTTTCTAGAGTCTCAACATCTTTTTTACATCGTGGTGACCAAAACTGGAGGCAGTATTCCAAGTGTGGCCTTATCAAGGCATTGTAAAGTTAATACTTCACGTGATCTTGATTCTATCCCTCTGTTAATGCAGCCTAGCACTGTGTTGGCTTTTTTGGCAGCTGCAGCACACTGCTGGCTCATATTTAAATGATTGTCCACTAGGACTCCAAGGTCCCTCTCGCAGTTACTACTATTGAGCAAGGTACCCCCTATACTATACCTGTACATTTGATTTTTCTTGCCTAAATGTAGAATGGGCGTTGTCTTACCTGAACGCCATTTCTCAGCATGTAGATGTAGCCTCCACCAGCGGGTTATCAATGCCTCCTTGCTCAGATTAGACTAAGATCAAACTTTGGCCACGCCTCCTTGGGCTGTCCTCTCCCAGTTTGTTGACCGACGAGGCGAAGCTCACTTGATCTGACACAACACTCCTCCTGAAATTACAGCCTAGACCTACAAACACGGGTGGGTGTGGAGGCTACATCTACATGCTGAGAAATGGCGTTCAGGTAAGACAAC